GTAAAAAAATTTGTAAAAGCTTCAAAAAATACTCAAGTACTACTTAATTAAAATATATTTGTGCAAGCACGAAGACACATTGGAGTTTATTTAATTTCCATTCTGCAAAAAAATTAAAGTTTCTAAAAAAGTTAATTAAAATATCAGCTTCTAATTATAAGTATTTTTCAATAAATTACTTTAAAGTTCAGTAAGTAATCGATATCTCAAATTAAAAAGTTTATTATTAGGGTGACCTTTTTGCGTAGATGTAGACGTACTACATTTTTGAGGGAGGGATAACCTACTGTCTAATTTTTTTTTTTAAATGTACTAGCGACTCACCCTAGCTTCGCTCGGCTTCGCCCCTAGATACGTTCAAACAATTAGTATGGAATAGACTAAATATCATATAATATATAGCCTATAGCCTTCCTTAATAAACGGACTATCTAATGCAAAAATTCAAACCGGATTAGTAGTTCCTGAGATTAGCGCATTCAAACAAACTCTGCCTCTTTATAATATTAGTACACATTACATTTTTTTTTAATTTCATTGTTTATACTATAGTTATTGTGTAATTTCCAATTGAAATTGCAGAATAAATGCAAACACAACCAATCAAGTGCTCGGCAAAATATGTATATGTAAATACCGCAGTCGCCTCAAAATACTAATTTATCTGGTCTCCACGTCCGTCCGCAACAGACGTAATTCGATTTGGCGACCTGCAATGCTTTTAGTTTTGACCTTTACATTGAAATATGAATGATACATATTTCATGTTCCAAAAATGTAGCTTTATTATATTATTTCCATTTAAATGAAACTATTGACAATATATTTATTTTAAAGATTTTTAAGGGTAAATCTATTACATGGGTATAATAAAATTCTGAGTCGAATCTGTACATTAAATATTTGTTTGGAAAATCTTATTGAAATAGTCATTATTATCGATACAGAAGTCGAGTCTATAGTATTTAGAATTTTTGGCTGTCTGTCTATCTGAGAACACATCACGTGAAAACCACTAGACCGATTTTGATGAAATTTGGCATGATATACTTTTTACTGCTGAGTGCTGACAAATATTTCATCTCTGAGAAATCTATACTAACCGGTAAAACGTTGGGACGAACCCGAGCGGAGCGAGGGTGAGTCGCTAGTATACATATAAACAAAGTACATAAGTATGTTAATCTTATGACACAAAGTTATGAAAACAGCCAGTAAGTTAAAAAAAAACACATTTCAAGATTGCTAATTACGATAAAATATACATACATATATTTGCGATATTCAATAAATTAACAAGTAGGAAGAAAACAGCGGCAGTTTTGACTTCGGAAAAGTTAAGTAAACGAGTGTATTGAATAATATTCACAAATTATAGGATTCAGTATGTACATATTGTGGGAGGGATTTTAATGAAGTCTATAACAAGCACTCACTAGTCGCTCGTACTCTGAGTGCGTTCTTTGCGAAGCATAAGTATCTACAGAAAACGTATCTTTCATTGCCTTTGATAGATCTGCACTGTAGAAGTATGTGTAATATGTATACTGCATACAATATAAGTATGTTGAACATAATATATTTCTAGTACACTCATTCATTTTCCATCATAATACCGATAAACTTAGGTTGAATTTGATAAAAAAATATATTATTTAAACTCTTAAAAGATTTTAGCAATTCGTGACCATTTAGAAGCCGATATTGTTTTTGGCAGTTGCCGGTTATGGAGAAGTTTTCTACTGGCACAAAATATAATGTATACCCACGTTGAAATATCTACGAGTATAAAGATAGGTACATACCTATAATAAAATTGTAACTAAGCCGAATCTGTACATTAAATATTTTTTGAAAAATCTTATTGAAATAGATATTATATTAACGATACAGAGGCCGAATGTATAGTTTTTAGAATTTTTGTCTGTCTGTCTGTCTGTGACATCACGGAAAAACTACTGGAGGGAATATGATGAAACTTGGTATGATGATAGCTGGTTATCCAGGTCAATATATAGCATACTTTTTACTGCGGGAAAATACCTCATCACTGAGAAATCTATACTAAACGTTAAAACGGTGAGTCGCTTGTATGTTATAAAAAAAATAATCTTAGAATCAAACATTTGTACGCATACAAAAAACTAGAGAAAAACTAAAGTTTTTACTGCGTACAAATGTTTGATTATTTATTAAAAGAAACTGTAAAGTTTTGAAAGACCATTTGCTTGTTTAAACATAATTTGATACCATTAATAATGTATTGGGAGTGGTGCCGAGGTCGGCTCCCGCTACGTCGACCAGTTATGGTCCATTGTAGCTCCCTTTAGAATGTATTTAAAGTTCTCCGCTTAGTCCTGTTGACTTTTCCGGTTGCATAATATACTGTCCTGGATAGATACTTCTGCGGTACACGAGTGGTCCGCACGAGCAGAGGATGTGCATAGCAGTTTCCTCTGATTTGATACTAAAGTTAGTACTTAGATATAATTTGATACTTGTATTACTCGTATATACATAAGTATATATTGCGTCTTTAACCGATTGCAGTAAAATAATAGTTATACAAAAATGACTTTTTAACACCTCCAGGTAAATTTCTAAGAATTTAATTAAATTTTTAAGAAATCTATTGTTAACTGTAACGCGGGCGTGTCCGCGCTCGTACGGGGGATTAATAAAAAAGTACACTGATATTTTTAAATAAAACTATCCTTTCGGATTTATTTAGATTTTTGGTGCCCGACGTTTCGAATGCTTTACAGCATCCATGGTCACGGGAGAGACTGAGGTGTTACATGTCTTGATTGACTTGTGTTGTGTTACATGACTTGATGTTTGACTGATTTTAAAACCACTGTTAATTTTAAAAGTATACCTTCATACGATCGGTTCATACAAGCAGAGACAATGACACCACACACATAAAATAAACCTCTCTCTTTATTTCAAGACTCAATTTTTGAATTCGGCGAAACATTTCTAAATGTAATCTCAATGCGAATGCCGGACATGCGCGATTCACAACCTAGAATAGAGAGCTTGTATTTTAGATAGCAATTTCAAAAAATAGGCTTTTTACGTGATACCAGCGATGAAAGCGAGCCGGCTTAATGAAAAATGTCGTGGACAAAATTGGCTTGTCCATCGCAAAAAGCAATTTTCGATAAAAACTGGTGAGAATATTTAGAATTTTATAGCGATACCGAAAACCTGTAGTTTTAAAAAATAGTTATTTTCAGTTTATTACGATTTAATGTAAGCTTAGAAACAATTAATCGAGACTCATATGTAGTTTTACAATTGAACTACTTGAATAAAGTCATTGTTATCTGCTCGTTAATACAAGTAAAACACTTGATATATCATACATTATTACATCGTAACAACTTAAAACACTTTACCGCGTTGGTTAAATGTGATAAACGCTGTGCCATTAAGAATGTTGTTACGAGCATATTAATTATAATTATAGATGACGACCGTAAATTTATGAATATACTAGCAGCTTTCCCACGCTTCGCTCGGGTTCGCCTCTAGAAAAAAAAACAAATCTATCCCACGGGAACCAACGAGAAGAAAAAAAACAACCAAAAATATTTGTTTACTAACCATAACGAGTCACTGGTCACTTGAATAAAGAATATTATTATTATTAGCTATTTCAAGATCAAGAATAAACCTTTCAATTATAATATTTATTAGTAAATATTGAGATTATTGCGTAAATAAAATATAAGATGCCTCCTCCACGGTGTCTACGTCAGTGGCTCGTTGGCGGTGCAGATATGATCCGCACAACCTGTTTCGTTTCGCAAAACGTCATTTATTACATCAATGTCAAGATCATTTATCTTCATGATACGCACGTTTTAGCAGTTTGAGCGTGTCAGGTTAAAGAATGGACGGTCAAGGCGTTTCGTAGATCGAAAGATAACAATTTAAATGTTATAATTATATTAAACTTTTGTTTTATAATAATCTTTTTCGATAAATCATTATTATTAGTTCTAAACACAACTTGAATTTATTTATATATTATTTATTTATATATTTATTTATAATATTATCTCTTTATTGTATGTATGTACCTTTATAGTTGTACGCATTTTGGCATACGAGTACATCTATCATACATGATATAATATCAAATATAGCTATCAAAAAGCAGGACAATTTTCAATGTTCACATATTAAAATATCGACGACCAGTAGTGATATATTTTTTCTTATTTCTAAAAGTTTACGATAACGAGCGTAAGTACTCAAACGTACCTACCCACATATCCCTACACTTCCACGCGTAAGTCGAACAATAACAGCCCTCCGCAGTGCGTCAACCAAAATTTTCCTTTTAGCAAAATTATCCATTAATTTACTTACCTTAGATTGTATCATGTCAGATATAACTTATATTAAAACATTATAGTGCTATAACATTTTGTATGCATTATTCGTAGCAACTCAAATTTCTAAGTAATTTCTGTTGAACTTTATAATAATAACTAATTAATTACTTTTAAACTACTACACCACTTAGAAAACAAAATACACTTGCTGCAGAGCTTTATGGATACATCTACTGAACTTTACCTTGACACTGACGTATTGGCATACTTTTTTTGTGTTAAAACCAAAAATAAAATTTGACTTTTCTTTATCACAAAGTAAAAAAAATAAAAAATTAAGCGCTTTACAAAAAAGTATGCGCATTTGAAACAGATTTCATTCATACTTTTTATATACGATAATGAGTCTGTTTCAGAGTCATGAAAGGCTCTGTTTTAATGGGCAAGACTTCACAACCTCAGCTCGCTTTCAAATACGTGTTTAACGGACCAATTGTTTTGGTAAATTTTGGCAAATTCAACGTATAGTAAAAAACTCTTAAGAAAATATTACATTTCGAAGTAGTCAACGAGGTTTCGAAGTGATAAAAAGCATTACACAATACTCCTCTATAAATGACTAGCTGCTCGCCATCAAAAATGAAAACTTACTTTGAATAAGCGTGTTGTAATTTATGCGTGGCCAACCACTGTCGCAGGACCAGTCTCTGCTGCAGCACGTGTGCCGCCCTTCGCAGCCTCCTCTCTTCCGACGCAGGCAACTCCGGTAACCTTTCCATATTCTCTGGCGACCCGCATCCTGATAGTGTGGATATTCCTATAAAATACGAGTGAAGATCTAAGTCTACAATTATGTATAAAGAAATACAATGAACGAAAAATATTTCAGATACTTCTAAAAGTACAACATATAATAATATTAGACTGGAAGCGTTAGCTAAAAGTTAAAATCAATTACAATATGGCGCCCAACGTGGGACTTCTGTCTGATATAAAGTAAATATAAATGTAGCTTTTAATTTATTGAAATTAAATCTGAGTTTTAATATCCTAGTAAGTGCGAAGTAAACTGAATCTTTCAAAAAAATCTGTGAATAAAAATATATACATTTATGGTAAGTTTGTCAGCTCTATTTCTTTTAACAGCGTATATTTGACATGAATATATTCACAGACAATAGCCAGTTTGAAATAATTACAGTTAGTTCGTTGTTGGTTAGTAACTAGGCAACGGATCGACCTTCGTGTGCTTTTCTTTAAAAACCTTGACATAAAGTGTGTTTAAACTAGTATTATATTTTTTACAATGACTATTTAATAGTGGTGGTGGCGCTACCTTCTATTTTGCAGATTACCCTCTATTTGCATTCTAATTTCCTTCGATATCCTTTCGAGGAGTTAACACCTTCAGGTAAATTTCTAAGAAATCTATACATATAATAAAATTGTAACTAAACCGAATCTGTACATTAAATATTTTTTGGGGAATTTTATTGAAATAGACATAATTATCGATACAGAGGCCAAATCTATAGTCTTTAGAATTTTTGTCTGTCTTTCTGTCTGTCTGTATATCTGTCTGTCTGTTTGTCTGTTACCGCATCACTGAAAAACCACTGGAGGGATTTTGATGAAATTTGGTATGATCATAGCTGATTATCCGGGTCAACATATAGGATACTTTTAACCGCAGGAAAATGTCTCATTTCTGAGAAAAAATATAAAAACTGTAATGTAAGAGTATACTAATATGTAAAACCTAAGAATTTGTTTTTTGGCCATCTGAACGCGGGCGGAGCCGCGGGCAATGCTAGTCTATTGTTAACTGTAACGCCGGCGTGTCCGCTGTCGTAGAGGGATTAAGAGGTAAATGAACACGCACAATGGCTTGTCTTAATAGTAATTTATAAAAAAATAAAACCTAAAATATTTGATCCCAATATCTGCAATTTGCGTATATCAATTGTAGAAACACTTGCCCTACCGATATTCATTAGACCAAGTTTAATAACGTGTTAAACGCTCTAGTAAATAACGCATTTTTGACATCAAGACTAACTCCATATCGCATGTTAACTTTAAACACACACGAAACATTCATGTAACTCTCATATAACGTTGAAATCCATAGAGGTTATAAACACTCATGCTATATAAACCGAACAAAAAGTAGGTAACTGTCGATAGTCACGCTACTATAAAGTTTTTATTAAACAGTATATTAATTATTATTTTTTTTGAAAAAAATAATATTATGCGCGTTACAGCTGGTGACTTGGTTGATGAAATTATTTTATTCCATGCTACGTCTTTAATTCACTCTCAGTGACGTTAGAAGGGCAACAAAAAATTTAATAACATAATTAGTTACTCCTACAATCACAAGAACGCTTGACGTGGCAGGAAGGAGAGTAGCTTATGGTGCTTACCGGCCTATGTTTATTGTTTATCCAAAATTACCATCTATCATCTGCTTCGTTATTGCGTGAATGAAGAACAAACAAAGAATGTACAATCTCAATTTCATTCGCATTTTTAAAAGTAACAATAATTTATTTATAACTAGCATTGCCCGCGGCTTCGCTCGCGTTCAAATGACCAAAAATCAAATTTTTAGGTTTTACATATTAGTATACTCTTACATTGCAGTTTTTGTATTTTTTCTCAGAAGTGAGACATTTTCCCGCGGTAAAAAGTATCCTATATGTTGACCCGGATAACCAGCTATACCATACCAAATTTCATCAAAATCCCTCTAGTGGTTTTTCCGTGATGCGGTAACAGACAGACAGACAGTCAGACAAAAATTCTAAAAACCATAGATTCGGCCTCTGTATCGATAATAATGTCTATTTCAATAAGATTTTCCAGAAAATATTTAATGTACAGATTCGGCTTAGTTACAATTTTATTATATGTATAGATGTATGTAGAGCCTCAACTGTTTAAAATAAAAACACGCGTAAAGTCGGACAGTATAAAATCAAAATATTAAGCAACACTATTGCACATTTTAAATAAATTAAAGAACTAAAAATATTAATTTCAAATGCTATATTTTTGATCTACACAGTAATAACTTTAGTCTCTCCCGTGACCATGATTGCTGTAAAGCATTCGAAACGTCGGGAACCGAAAATCAAAATAAATCCGCGAAATATCCGAAATGTACTACTCGTACGTAAAATATCAAAAAATTTTGCGTAAATATAAGAAAAGTATTACCCTATATCCTTTCTTAAGAATTAGGATAACATATGAAAAATTGAATGATTTTTTTCATATTCAACTTAGTAGTTTTAACGCGTTTAAACAAAAAAAAAACATAAATAAAATGTTCAGTTTTATTATACATATACTATAGTAGGTATACATATATAGGAAAGGAAACACTTTGGTACGTGTCGATTGCTCGATTAATCAGCAAACATTTTAGTTAAAATGAAATGGCTAACAATTTCATTACAGGGCGAGGCTCTCAATTAGAATATTTTTTTATTTTGTACGAGTTGTTATATGATGCTATATATGAAAAACCATTATAATAAATACCTTTTTAGGTAAATCATTATTTTCATTTATGTAAAATAGAGGTAAATTACAACACACAAAGCAAACAAGAACCCTACGTAGAAACAAAAAGTACCACGACTTCTGAATCGTTCAAAAAGTTTCAAAACTTAATTATAAAAGGCGTTCAAAGAAAATTGCACAGTGTCGTGCCTCACGCGATACGAGCCGTGATTCTCTGCTAACTTCACCTGACCTTTCAAACTATCGATGGAAACATTCAACATTTCAGGCTTCTCTGCCAACTTCTACGTAACAAAAGTTGACAAAACAATTATTTACATGTTCCGAATCAATCAAATTATAAATAGATACTAGAATGAGCTAGGTTTTTCAAAGGTTTATTTACTTTTGATCTATACTAATATTATAAAGAGGTAAAGTTTGTGAGTTTGTGAGATTGTGAGTTTGTCACGTTGTAGGGGGTAATTAATATCTTGATTTACTGAACCGATTAAGATGAAATTTGGTAAGAAGATAGTTTGACACCCTGGGAAGGATATAGGATACGTTTTATCCCGGAAATCATCTATTAAGGGGGTGAAAATGGGGATGAAATTTTGTGTGGGGAATCAACCTAGGAACGAACCCGAGCGAAGCGAGGGTGAGTCGCTAGTTTTTTATAAGCATATTGCTAAAATCTAACGATCAATATTCCGTACAGAATAAATAAATAGATCTTTTCCTGTAAATATACTAAAATATATAACAATATTCAATGTTAGGAAATTCTTTTTAATACTTTCACGTTACTTCTATTAACTTGCATAGTTCACATTTGCAACTATACTCTATGAAGCAGGTTCATTCATACCTATATTTATGAAAGCACAAGTATGTCATAGATGCAAATTTAAAGCATTTGTAAAGCCCGAGGTCTAGTGGACCTCAAGAGCCCAGGCCAAGTTCGAGGGCTGTTGCCGACACTCGATCATTGCACGCTGACTTTATGAAAGAGAACTTATCTATCTATACTTAAAATTGCAGATATAATGTCAAGGTGACGTTTCAAATGTTTAAGTTTAAACTAAAAAAATATAATGTACTAGCGGAAAGAAAACTAGTCTATCCCACGGGAACTGTACATTTTTCCTGTATATATATACAATTTTTATCCTTGTCGAGAGGTGTACATTATTATCTATTTCTCCGACTGCATAATACTATATACCTTTTTTTTCTTTTTTTTTTTAACGTTGGGAAATGCATTTACGCACGACGTGTGGGACTCACCGGCGTAATACAGCCAGTACTACCCACTAAAACCCAACAAAACCTTCCCCCGTCTTAATGGGGCGTCGCAGGATCGCTTACGCATTCAACTACGACGCCCCGACGGCAGGTCTGCCAAAGCAGACCACCACAACCTTGGGGTTGCTCCAAGGTCCACTCTGCTATCAGAGAAGTACCAGGAGCAACCCGCAAGGTACACCGCCCCCCGAAGAGGGCCACCTCCCACCGCCCACCGAAGTGGGCAACCTCCCTGTGCGTTTCTTAGCTTCGTACTACTACTACTGAGCCCCCCCACCACGACAAGGTGAACGCACGTTGGGGGGGATAATACTATATACCTTCGTCAACTCGTACTCATCTTTTTAGTTAGCTTCTATGCAGTTGGATTTTTATTTACAGTTTTTCAGTTTTTGCCAATTAGACATTTGATTAGCAATCCTAAATTATTTTTAAGCATATAAATTATAAGTTGCATATATTTTTGTAATCGCCTTTTAAAAACCTTTATTTTGATGCCCCACTCGATTGTTTTGGAAGAATTTTTATTTTGAAGACACACAAATTGGCGCCTGAATTTTTTTTTATTTGCGTCACGTAGTCTGGTAATAAACCGTTCCACGATACCTGTCAGCAAGTGAGTGCGCGCAATCTAGTGTCCTTGGTACACGAAAGCACAAACGTAAACAAAGAGGTTATAACTTAAAATTAATCAAATGTTCCATGCATCTCATCATCAATATAAAGGCAATAAATATCTCAGCTATGCTAGATAATATTCTTAAGTTTAATATAGAGCAGATTTGCAAAAATCTATAATTTTGCGGGTCAGTAAGTGTCTAACCTGCTTTATATTCGGAAGCAGATTGCCTAAATTAAGATTTTCTATCTTCCCATCTGCACGTTATTCATTTCCATTGAGGTATAAATAAATAGAGACTCTATTCTTCGCTCTCCGTTTATGTCTTGCTTTTATTAAACAGAGTTCGACAGCTCCGGTCAATATGGTCACCGACT